GGTTCTTTAATTTTGAAAAATTATATATTTATATATCATCTGAAAGAGCTTCATTTTCTGAGCACAGCCAAATTTTTTTCAAACCCACACACTTTAATCTCGATTTTTAAATCAAGATTTAAAGCAAAATAATAACTTAACTGTTTGACACTAAACTGACAAACTGACAGCTCGCTTCCATACAAAGTGACACCGAGGGGCGCTAATAAGGTGATTTTTGCAAATGTAATCGTACCAAAATTGATGAAATTTTGGGTTTGGGTTCCATTATTAATGCAGATTACGAATATGCATTAACCTCAATACCCTTAAAGAACCCAATTGAACGTTAGGCGATGCGATTTTTCCATTACTGATTTGGCATAAAATAATATTTTAGAAAAACCGAAATTTCATGTACCCCTTGGGTGACTTTTCGGTTTTCAAAAAGTTCAAACTTTGACGATTTTACTCAGGATATTTTGTCGAGTTCATACACAACCCTACCCACCATGAACTTTACCCGGTTGCAACTTCCATCTATCCATCTTTCCTCCTTTCAAAACCATGAATACGTGTTCATTACTATTTTTACCGAAAAAATAAAACGATCTCTTCTTTAGATGACTCCCAAGAGATCAATCCAGCGTCCAAACAGAAAAAAAAGTAAAACGAGTTCCATTCAATCCATTGCCAAACTACATAACGCAATCTCGGTATGCTTTACCTCAATTGAGCAGTGAAAACTGCGAATACGGCGTCGACCGTCGCAGTCTACCATTACGATGCCATTTTTATTGTAAATCATCTTTTTTTACTAACCCTCAACACCCTCTGGGTGACCAGCCAGCAATGGAGGCAGAAAACATTCGTCGCAAATCCGTTTCCTGGTCCTTCCGCATCATGTTGAAAAGATTATCAACACAACATAAAAAAAATATGCAGACTCTTTTCAGTGATAAACACCCACGACGCGACTCTGACTGGAGGCCGTGCCGTCTGATGATGAAAATTCGTGATTTCAGGATTCCGGTAGTGAAGATAAATTGTGAAAAGCTCTCATTTTAATTTAAATCACTCCCATGTGGCGCACGTCCGCTGGTTTTGTGTCGGTGGCAAATAGCCAGCATAGCCTCGCCTGGGTTGGTAGGTTAAATCTTTTAATGTTTTCATTTTTGGCGTTTTTCATGCCACCACAAGGCTGCCGTGAATGTTGAATGCTGCGTAGCAGATTAACGCCTTCATTTGGAACGATAATTCAGCCAAGAGTGATGAGTTCCCAAAATGAGCAGCTAGTGCACAGTAGAACGTGGATTTGAATTTGAATCACGCTGATAACGAGCATCTTTGGAATTGAGAAGAAAGCCCTCACCTCATCGTAAACATCCGTTCAATAAGCCTCGGGTTTGCATGTTCGCATCGAAAATATTTGTACCGCATCCGGGAGTGAATGTACACAACACTAATACGTGTAGAGTTTGGACGAATTTCCATCACTAATGGGTGTGCACAGGATTTTTCCAATGGGGAGTGCTGTGTGCCTTTCATTCGGCTAGAAAATACTGACTTGACAGAACTTTGTGTCCGTGGAGTTTATAATATCAAGACAACCCCTTCAACATTCTCCTGGCGCATGGCCTTGTTGAATAACGGCATCACTCATCCTACATCCACCAAACAGGAACCATAGAAAAAGGAAGACAGCCAAACACACGCGCGCATCCTGATTCCTGATGCCCTCTTGATCCAGCCGGCTCGGCTGAAGGATCAAAAAAAAAAAGGATACGTACGTGACTAAATTCAAATTCCGGGATTTTGAATACATATTAATGTGTTTGTCTGTGCTTCACCTCGTCCCATTCACACGCCTTCGTCAGTGTCCTCCCCTTCCGGATACGATGAAGGTGTAATAATTTTACACATCTTCATTCTCCATTTGAAAACTGCGTTATTTCCATGCACATCTCTCACTGTCTCCCCCATCGTCCCCGCTGTTCTGCTGTAAGGGTAATAACGTGAAAATTTGGACGAATTTCATACATCATTATCGCATCCGTCCCATCTGGTTTCAGGCAGGACGGAGTCAGCGGCGGCAATGCGATGGAATCTACACTTTGACTCACGCTGCTATAAACTATGTAAGGGGATTGGCATTTTAATAATATTATACACGCGCCCCAGAGCTGCGTCTCCCCTCGGAGGAAGAATTCCAAGAAAGGATCAGACGGGAAGAAAATTCTGATTTATTGAAATGATTTTTGATGGAGATGTTAATATGCGTAAGTAGATTTTCTTTACGGACTGATCGGTATGACGGAATTCCTGGGCACAAATTTTACCTACTGGTACTGGTAATCGCTTCAGTCTGGTCCAGTAAGGGTGGCAAAGAAATTAAATTCAACTAAAAAATTGTTTGCGGTGAAAGCAATTTCTGCTGTGTCGGAGGCGATAATTGAAAATGGAAGATTATCCTTCCGGGCGTTCGCTGTTGATTGACGATGATGACGGTATGTGCTTTGCTATACGTATTGGGATTACATTCGGGACGGCGAGGGCGGAATGTAATGGAATGCGTGATCCGTCGAGGGTGCATGAGCAGAGGAAGAGAAAAGTGACACACTTCATTGGAAACTATCGAAGCATGGTGCATAACAAATGGGTGTATGAGTGTCTGTAGTAGCAGTTATGCGAGCAGCAGCAGCAGCCAGGTTTAACTTTCCTGTAAGGATAAGCGGTGTTGTTGGCACGATCCTGTCCGCTTAAAGAATTACGCAAAATCGTTCGAGCGCGAGTTCTGGTGGTACTAGTTTACGATGTTTTCAAATATGGCACGAGCTGGAATGACATATTGTCACATGTGCTGTCGAGCGGTAATATGAAAATAAACACTATCATTATGACTATAGTCTATAGACTATTCACAGCTACACTCTTAGAAAAATTAATGTAAATTTAGGTGCTCTAAGACTGACATATACGAGTGTCAATTTTGACATAAATTTGGGTCAAAACAAACGCAAAATTCAGTTCAATCAAACGTACTTTTCGCCGAGTAACGAACTGTTCAATCTCGGAGCCCTTAATTTTACATGACATGTTTGTTTACGTTTCATCCTTTATGTCAAAGATGTATTCCATCACGTGTAAAATTAGTTATTTCTAAGTTTGTAGTCACTATTATGGGTCAGTCGATTCGGCGTGTTAATCAAATGAAAGTGGCCCATAATTGTGGCTGACCCATAATACTAGGGTGACTGTATATTAGGGTGGGTCTCCGTTATATGGAAAATGAAAACTTCACCTCATCAAGCGAGAACAACCCTTTTCTGGTTTCATTTGGGGTTCCAAACAACTGTGCAAAATTTGAAAACGATTAGTTGTGACTCGGCATTCCGCATTGCGTTGGAAATTTGTATCGAAATTAGTATGGGAAAACCTAGTTTTTTTTTTGTATTTTCATCACTGAGACCACAATTTTGCATGAACCATGCAATTAACCATGTAAAAATATATTCCAGCCAACTTTGCCGAAAGAAGTATGGTTCTAGAATGTCTCTAAAAAAAAGTTATTCAGATATATATTGTAACAGATATCAGAAACCTTGCCCCTACTTTATACATGCTCCTCTACATACCCCTATCTACTCTATGTATACACGACGCCACTGTATCTCGATGATGAATAAAACGTAATAAACACCACATGGTATCAGAAGTGGTTTTCGCGCGCGGAAAAACCCGAAAAAAACCGATGAAAATATCGCGGATACGGGAAAAATAGTTCGGAAACGCGAAACGTAAAGTTGGACAACGTAAATATTGATTGGATACGGATCGGTAAAGCGTAAAAGTTGCGAAAATGGTCGATCCATCACAGCCACCGCCTCAGCAGCAAGCGAACAGCGTACATAACCCCATTCAAAGTTTCTCAGCCCAGCCGCCGGAGAGAATCAACATCCGAAATCAAATTGACAAGGCGAGAATCTGGAAAGTTTGGAGTCAGCAATACGAGTGGTTCGAGCTAGCAGCAGGAATTAAACAGCTCCCGGCGGAAAGGCAGGTCGGCATCCTCATGAACAGTCTGGGACCGGATGTAATAGGAACGTTTACGGGATTCCAACTGACGGAAGAGGAGAAAAAAGACCCGAATGTGATTAAGCGAAAGTTTGCCGAAGCGTTCAACCCTACTGCTAACCCTACGTACAGCACGTACATATTCCTGAAGACTGACCAAGGCCCGGATGAAAGTTTTGACAGCTTTCTTATTAAGCTGCGACAGGCTATTGTGGATTGTGATTTCAATACTCCACAGGAAGGTATGTCTACGGAAGATCGACTGCTAAAAGACAAAATCGTGCTGGGAGTGCGCAGTCAAGAAGTTCGGGAGAAGCTCCTCAGTGACTCCAAGTTGACCCTTGAGAAAGCAATTCAAATCTGCAGATCCAGTGAAAAGACGACGGAAACGTTGTACCAGATCAGCTCTGACACGAAGAGTTGCGATGCCATCAAGGGAAGAGAAGCTGATAAACCTTTCAACTGCCGTAGGTGTGGAACTAAGCACGGAAAGAAAAGTTGTCCTGCATTCAAGAAAACCTGTCCTGTTTGCAACAAAACTGGACACTTGCCAGAGTGCTGCTTCAAGAAGAGCAAGGACCGGGAATCGTCTAGCAGTAGCAGCAAGAAGAATAAGGAGAAGAAAACAGTGTCTATCGTACAGGAAACAGAAGATTCGTCGGAAGAGGAACATGTGGACCTGCATCTGCACGCAATTCAAGCTCAGGAGAACTTAAAGTTGTGGATCTAGACGTCGTTCCTGTTCTTGGAAGGACCAGTTGCGTGAAGCTGAATCTGCTTAGGCGAGTACACGTCGTGAGAGAGGACACCAACATTTTCAAAGGTTTGGGCTGTCTGAAAGGATTTGAGTACGAGTTGAACTTTAAGCCGGACGCAAAATTCGAGATTCGACCAGCAAGAATGATTCCGCACAATATCGAGGAGAAGTGAAGGAGGAACTGGAAAACATGGTGAAACTGGGAGTTATAAGGAAGCAAGTAGAACCAACACCAGTGGTAAGCAACCTAGTAGTGGTCCGGAAGAATAATAAGATTCGATTGTGTATTGATCCGACAGACGTGAATAAAAGCATTCTGCGCAGACACTATCCACTCAGGACGATTGAGGAGATTGCGGCAAGGATCCGTGATTCAACTTGGTTCACCATACTGGACTGCAAGAAGGGCTTTTGGCAGATCCAAGTAGCCGAGGCGTCCCAAAAATACTTGACATTCGGAACGCCATGGGGCCGCTACTCATGCAAACGTCTTCCATTCGGTCTCGCATCAGCACCAGAGGTGTTCCAGAATCATATCTCAACGCTGCTGGATGGACTAGATAACATGGATGTCTCGATGGATGATATATTGATATATGCAACAAGCGAAGCGAAACTAAAGGAGATCACAGCGAACGTTATTGACCGCCTAGATCGCACTGGATTGAAGCTGAATAAGGAAAAGTGTCGGTTCGCCGTTAGATCCGTGAAGTTTCTTGGACACATCGTATCGGCGGAGGGACTGAAACCAGACGACGAGAAAATTATGGCAATCCGAAGGCTGAAAGTACCGGAAACCAAGAAGCAGTTACAACGTTTGCTTGGAATGGTAACTTACCTTTCGAAATTTATTACTAACCTCTCGCAAATTACAGCTCCTCTAAGATTGCTACTCCAGAAGGAAGTTGCTTGGGTTTGGAGCCACGAACAACAAGCAGCATTCGAGAAGATAAAAAGACATCTCTCAAGTCTCCCAACGCTGAAATTCTATGACGTGAATCAGGAAAACGTGCTATCGGTGGACTGCAGCTCACACTCGATGGGAGCAGTTCTCCTGCAAGAAGGACGCCCGGTAGCATATGCATCTAAAGCGCTGACTCCATCTCAACAAAATTATCCTCAAATCGAAAAAGAGGCATTTGCAATTAGATTCGGATGTCAGAAGTTTCATCCTTATATCTTCGGGAGGCCGGTAACAATTGAAACCGACCATAAGCCTCTTGAATCGATATTCAAGAAACCATTGGATAAAGCCCCACCACGACTGAAACGCATCATTCTCGATGTCCAACCGTATGCACCGTCGATTATCTACGTAAGAGGAGAGAATGTACCAATTGCTGCTACGTTAAGCCGTGACGTTGACAACCCGAAGGAGAAAAACGAGGATGAGCTAGAGGTTCACGTGGTACTCAACGTGACGAAGCCGTGGATGGATCAAATTGTAGCTGAGACTGAAAGCTCTGAAGTGTTGCAGAAACTAATTCGCTGCTTACTCGAAGGATGGCCAGAAGAACTAGCACATGTGGATGGTGATCTCCAGCCCTATTGGAACTTCAGAGATGAGTTATCAACGTATGAAGGTGTGATTTTCAAGGGTGACTGCATTCTGGTACCAGAATCGCTTCGAAAGAAAGTATTGAGCCTTACGCATGCTGGACACTTCGGAATCCAGTCTTGCATTAAACGTGCGAAACAGTTAGTGTTCTGGCCTGGCATGGGCCGTGACATCCAGCGGTATGTGGATGAATGCAGCGTGTGTCAAAAGCACAGTCGAAGTTGTGTAAAGGAACCGATGATCGTCAAGAGGATTCCTGACTATCCATTCCAGATAGTCGCTTCGGATATTTTCCACTTCAACGGAGTAAATTATCTGGTACTCATCGATAGCTATTCGGGATGGATTGACTTTAAGAAACTGTGCACGATGGAGTCATCGGAGGTAATAGAGAAGCTGGAAACATGGTTTGCAGTTTGGGGAGTTCCAGAAGAGCTCAACAGCGATAACGTGGAATTTCGAACACGTAACGGCGAGCCCGTACTATCCACAAAGCAACGGTCTATCTGAAAGAGCAGTTCAAATAGCCAAGAACATTATAAGGAAGTGCAAAGAAGACAACAGCTCCGTACAGCTTGGTTTATTGAACTACCGCAATATTCCATGATCTAAGGAACTATTGTCGCCGAACCAAATGATTATTAGCAGGAACTCCGCTGCCGATAGTAGAAGAGAAGCTAAAACCAATTGTTGTCGAAAACGTCAACAAATCCCTAGAAGCTGCGAGGCAGAAACAGAAGGACTACTATGATCGAGGAGCTCGGAAACGCCTGGAATTGAATGTCAACGATAATGTACTGGTGCAGAATCAGTTGACTTATATCTGGGAGTCGGGTAAAGTGATCGCCAAAACGGACACTCCACGGTCTATTATCGTTGAGAAAAACAGCGACATCGTTCGACGCAACATGAAGCATGTAAGGAGATCCGTTGTCTCGATTACACCTAAACCCGAAGCCATTAGTGAAGATGATCCCGAGAATCCCGAAGGAATCGATCCCGATGGACCGTCATCCGAAACTGGAAATACGCCGTCATCGTCGCCAGTTGTATCACCACAGGGTCAACCTTCTCTACCAGTTCTTCAATCCAATGATAGCGGCCATACGTGACAAGAGCAGGAAGAACGATCAAACCAGTAACCAGACTAAATTTGTAGTTGTTCTTTTTGAAAAGGGAGATGTAACAGATATCAGAAACCTTGCCCCTACTTTATACATGCTCCTCTACATACCCCTATCTACTCTATGTATACACGACGCCACTGTATCTCGATGATGAATAAAACGTAATAAACACCACATATATGGTTTGAATTATATGATAAAAATCAAATATTCTGACAACACTACCGGTTTAAAGGGTGGATCATTCAAAAATTGGACAAATATAATTAAGTGCACAATGAGTATGTTATTATATAAATGATCAAACCTTATTTCTTCTTGAAGTTCAACGGCTACAAAATACAGGAATATTATTATATTAGGCTTCCGACTTTCCAAATTCGAATTGCCGGGCTCTACGTTTCACACCATCCATATGATTCTGTACCGCTGTTGTATCAACCTTATTTGATGCTGAATGCCAATTTTCTTTGAACTTTTTCTCATTTTCAACTTTTTCTTGAGGTTTCGCTTAACGGTTGCCCAATGTTTTTCGATTGGGCGCAGCTCCGGCGAGTTTGGAGGGTTTTGTCCTTGGGTACGAATTGGACGTTGTTGGTGGTACACTACTCCTGAGCCATTTTCCCGTAATGACCGGAAGCGAGGTGGCCAAAACAACATGGAATAACTGTGTTTCTTCAAAAAAGGCACCAAGCGTTTTTGCAAACATTTCTTTACATAAATGTTTTGGTTAACAGTGCCAGTTGTCACGAAAACTTCGCTTTTCAGCCCACATGTGCTAATCGCCTGCCAAACCAAGTATTATAATTTTATTGAATCAAAAAGACAATCGATGATAATTTTAATTATCATAGCAACAGATATACATTAATGCAATTTTCAATGGTGACCATTTGAAAATTGATAGCCTTAATTTTAATTCATAGACAAATTTCCTATCGATTTGCGTAATAAGAATTAAAATCCATCATCTTTGGATTAAAATCAGACCACTTTCATGCCGTGACCGACTTTGGGTTTTTAAATTGCACCCCAATGTTGCTTTAAAATATATCAGGCATAACATTTGATAACGGCACAAAAGCATTTGTAAACAAACTTTCTAATGCCCTTTACACGGGAGCCAAAGTACGAACACGCAAACCAACAACATCATCGGATAAGGGCAACTATCACCTTTCCGAAAGTGGTATTGGTTTGCGTGGGCCTACTTTGGTTCGCGTGTAAAGGGCCTTAGAAAGTTTGTTTACAAATGCTTCTGTGCCGTTATCAAATGTTATGCCTGATATGGTATGTTAAATTTGAACATATAACTTACATCCGATTGATGACCTTGACAAATATCCAGAAAATACTCTTTAACAAAGTTATGGTGGTCCTGAAAAGGACCATCACGACGGTTGAGTAATGCTGAGCTATTAGGGGTTTCAACACAGATGAGGCTGTGTTTTGAACGAGGTTGGCGTGGTTGGCATAGACAGCCTCGACTCACGAAGTGCTATTGATTCCGATCAGTAGCGGTGCGGCTTCTTCTTCCTTCTTCGGTAAATGGGCGCTTACTGGAGAACAATCTACAACGCCACGCGTCGAAAGCACTGCTGCTTCTGATGACGGCCGACGGGACACCTCCACACAAGTTGATTGAATAAGCACCGTTCAGTGAGACCGGATGGAATGCGATTTTGAAATCTGTGTTAGGAAAAGCGCTTTTTCAGGCAATCGGTGATAATTTTGATCACCATGGTAACAGTTGGACATTTGTATAATTTTCAATGGTAGCCTATTTAAAATTAATAATGTGTTCATTTCATCAGATTCGTAGAAAAAATTCAATCGATTGGTTTGTTTAGAATTAATATCCATCCGCTATTGACAGAGTTATAAGTGGTCAAAACCTGACCACTTTTCGTAACGCGGACGATTTTGGTTTTCTAAAAGTGCACCTCCAATATGTTGCCGAAAGAATCTAAAAATAGCTTGACTTAAGGCCCAAGTGCAATGACAGCGGAAGCGGAACGGCAGCGGCAGTGGAAAGCCCGATCTGAGTAAGCCTACTTGTCGGACTGAAAACTAGTTAGGTTCAAATCGACTTCGATTAGGCATATTGACGTCATTTGTGACAACTGTCAAACTTGCCGTTTCCGTTCCGCTTCCGCCCGCATTGTGTTTGGACCTTTTCTAGTCAATTAACTAACGTAAAATAAATTAAAATCTAGTCAACAGTTTATGTTGTCCCAGAGATGTCAGCAAGAGCTATTCAGACAAAAATATGCTTCTCAGCAAAAATATGGCCTTTTCAGCCATTTATCAGCACAAAATGCTTGTTGGGTTCCTAGTCTTGAGTTATGAACCTACACGGTAAGAATGAAAAACCCATTAATAAGTAAAAATTCACGTATATCCTGGAAAAAACTAATTTTTACCCTTTTATTAGTAAACACAGAAAACTTCAATGAGAGAAGTTTACGTCTGATCTATTCTGGACAAATTATTTTTATCTAGAACAAAAAATCCTATGGTTTTCACGGTTTGGATCATTGCACATTTGAATCGGCCGTTTACGGTTTTCGGTCATAATTCAGAATTAAGTGTCATGTCGGTTTGTCGGTGGTACGAATGCAAAAATACTTGCTACTGTGATGCTAACAGTTTGACAGCTCTTTGACTGGGTGCTAGTTTATGTTAGCTGATTTTTTCGGTAAAATATCGTTTGCTGTTTTTCAGTAAAGCATTGGATTGCTGATCATCCACCAATTCGTTTTACTGATAATAAAAACTTAAATTTAGTGTGATTGAAATTAATTTGCTGCAAATGTATGGTTGATATGCTTGTAGGATTCTGCGTAGATTTAGAAGTATTATTATTATTTGTTTTACTAAACACATTTCGTACAAATTCTAATGATAACAGTAATTTTCAAACATTAACAAATTTTGCTCGCACCCGCCATCGAAACGCTCGCTGCATGCAGGGTTGTCCGTAGCTTGTGTCCGAAATCTCGCCATGTCGAAAAATCATCGAACTCCCAGCACACACAGCAAGGCGAACATTCATCGCACGCTCGTCTCCGACATATCAACAAACCCGAAGCCGAAGACCGTCGCCGCCGACACGCACACAAACGAACACTCAAAGCATCTGTTCTGTTCACGATCTGTTCGGCTTCCATCTTGCCTGGCTCGCGCGCGTTCAGTCTTCTAGTGAACGCCGTGCGGTTTGGATGTCGTATTGTCTACCTGCCATCTTTGTTGGCCCTATCGCGTCTCGAAATTCGTAGTCCTCGGCTTGTTTTGCTGTTTGGTAATAATTTTGATCCGTTGATTGATTGAAGAATTTCAATCTGCTACGGAATATCACGATGGAAACAGTGGTGGCGTTGAATCGCTGAAGATTTTGAGTGATTTGGAAGTGAATTTATCGGGATAAATCGAAGAAAATGTTTATGTTTTCGCTTGCCACGAGCTGCCAGTGAGTGCGAGTGAGAAACAAGTGAAGCAAAGAAGGCAAAACAGGCGTGCGAAGGAAAGAGATCAGTGTAGTATCGAACCCGGTTCGGCAGGTTCGTGTCGTGTTGTGTTCAAGAAGTGTCAAATCTGTTTCGAGCCGGCTTGTTTTGGTGCGATGAATTTCAGCTGCTTTGAGCCGGTGTAAATATTTTGCTTATGAATGTTTGATAACACGCTGCTGATGATTGTGTTCGAGCAATGAATGATTCTCTCTTGTGGAGCCATTAAATGTTCTGATACGAGGAAGGAGATTCCAAGGAGAGTGTAAATCACGAACCATCGTGTACGAAAATAAACCATCAACAACAGTGCTGCATAAGAAAAGAGTTAACCCGAAGCAGGAAAGCCATTCTCATCGCAAGCTGTCAAAATGACGAATTTATGTGTTTACATTGGATTATTCCTGGTGTTTGCGGCCGGCGGCAGTGCACATCTGAATCTGTATCTGAACCAGATCGAAGTCATGCGATTACTCGGTATGTTGGCACACACGTTCATGGATGATTGGGAAATGATTCCCCCCCCTCATGTCTATAGCTCACGTGAATCGGAACTGAAAATAGTGTAACGTTGTTCGCCACACGGCGATAGCAGTGAAATTCGTCTCCGTTGGCGGCTTGGGGAACGTGTTTTGTTTATGTTTTCGCTACCCGGTGAAGGTACATAGTCTTACCACCATGAGCGGTGAGCGATGTTCCGATGTCTGTAAAGCGAAGAACTTGTTGCGGGTTATTTATGGAACAGTAGCGAGGAAATCAGCGCTGCCTTGTAGAATAGGCCGAGCGGTGGGCATCTGAAATAATATTCCGCTAATGCCACGTGATGGATGGAATCGATAATCCTGGGTGGATCGTTGGGAAGATATTAATGGTGTTGATTGTGAAATTTTAAACTATCCTGGAGATGATAGTTTATACTTTCCTAGAACATCAAAGCGAGACAAATGCAAATTTCATGATTTTGTCATTATACTCTCCATCTTTGCCGGGAACATGCCGTTGATTGGCGGAGGATACTCAAAGGAATTCGAAGTCTTCAACAACCGATACCTGTGGTATATGATTCGTGTTACGTGCTGACAAAGATAAATTTAGTGGGATCAGTAAATTTTTACTTGATATTCAGTCAGCTGAAAAAGTCAGTAAACCGAAAATAATCGTCACTCGGAATGAAACGAACAATATTATCATATTTTACTATTCATCATTAAAGATCATGGTCTGCATAAATTTAGAGGAAAATTTCGATTCATTATTTTTTTTTTAAGTAGGTACTTTTTAAATAAAAATTCCAAAGAAAATTTGAAGAAAAATTCAAGGAATTCTAGGGATGACACCAAAATATTTCAAAGAAGAATACCAAACTACACACTACGAAAGTCTCATGTAAATTTAGGTGCTCTGAGGGCCAATCGGTGAACTTAAATATTAAACCAGGTTTAACCATATAGTTAAAACTGGTTTAAGGCTTAAGCGGAG